GCAGGGGTTTGCAGTGTGGGCTTCCGGCCATCAAATATTACTGGTGTCCCCAGCTACTGGCTGAGCCCCACAGCTGGAGGGATTTCTCCTGTTCCATCCCCTGCTTTTCTTGCCTGAAAAACAAAGTAAGACCCTTTTTAATCAGCTTGGTTCCCCTCCTCTGCAGCATCTCTGGGAAGCTGAGCTGTGTCAGGTCTCAGCCAACATGAAGGCAGGTGGGTTGGCCAGCTCCTTGAGTCTGCCTCACTGCTGGATCTTCTGACCTCCCTGCAGACATTTCAGGCCTGTGAAGAGGCATGGAGCAAGGCAGGATCCAAGGAGATGCATCCCAGGCAGCTCAAATATTAAATCAAACAGCTGAGAAAATCACAGAGAAATAATGTATTGGTGAAGGGAGGAGGCAAACCCCTCATGAACTCCCACCTTAGAGGCAGCTGGAGAATTGGCTGTGGCCTGGCTGTCAAAATGTGAAGAGGGGGAAGAAGAAGCTTGTCTTTTTGACATAGCTTGTCCACTCTCCCATCCTGTGACTGAAGACATAATTTGCTTTTGGGAAGAGAGGAAAATTTAGGAGGCTCCTGGGAAGTTTGTGGGTGCTCCCATGTGCCAAGTGGATGGATGGATGGATGGATGGATGGATGGATGGATGGATGGAGCTTTTCTAGAAAAGCCCAGGATCTCAGGATGTAGGGCTTTCAGCACGACAATCAGTGAGGTATGGGGAGCCCACAAGGCAGAAGTGCCCTGTTAGAGGTGAAGGATGGGGAGGCTGTTAGAGGAAGGATGGGGAGTGCTGGGATGCAGGAAAAAAGCTGCCAAGTTGGATGTGCCTGTGAGCTTTTTGGAATGCAAGGAGCTTAAAATATAGCACCTCAGTTGACTAATAAAAAAAACCTGTCTTGTTATGCAAAGGCTCGTTGCAAACATCTGTGGGTTGTGGAGTTCCCAAAAGGGAGAAATCTCTCCCTGTTGGAGCAGCTCCTGGGGGAGGATGCACAAGATTCACAGAGAAATTGGGGGGGTGAAGGGTTACAAGCACGGGGAGCGATGGATCTGCAAAGCTCACCTTCCAAAAAAGAGGAAAGAGGAGTAAAAGGGAGTATAAAAAGCAGGTGGCAGGAACCAAGGATGATTTTATGGCTTTGCAAAAAATTACCACGGCAATTAAAAGTGCTCTAAGCTTTCTGAAGGAGAAAGAAGGAAAGAAGAGGGAAATAAAAGCCTAGATTGCAGGGAAGGATGCATAGGGGAACAGCCATCACTCACAAGAGCCATGGCACAGCTGGGGATCTTCTGCAGGGGCATGGGGGCACAAGCAAAGGTTGGTGTGTCAGGAACCAGGGGTATGGATTGGTGGGGAAAGGCAGCTGGGCAAGGAACCTTGGAGGTAAGTGATGGGGTCTGTACTTCTGCAGGGTGCCCAAGAGCCAGGAGCTCATCTCTGTGTCCAGAGGGTGGGGGCTTGGAGCCACAGCAAGGCTGAGATGCCTGTTTGCTCCTGCTGGCATTTTGTTCCTTCTCTGTGTTCATCTGCAGATGCACACAGCTGGCTGAGGAAGAAATGGCGTCCTGCACTCAAATGTCCTTTGTTGAATGTCCTCTGCAGCATTTTTTACAAGCTACAAGGCATCTGCAGCCCAGATCTGTCCTTGCCTTTGTGTTCCAGCCCTGGGGTTTGTGTTACACCCTCAGGACTTGCAGAATGTAACCCTCTGCCCTGGGTGACACCCACTCCAGTGGCATCAGTGAGCACCAGTCTAAGGGCATCACCTGAAGTGTCACACCCAAGGTGTCTTCATGGAGGTTCCAGCAGATTCCTTCCCCGCTGGGCAGAAGTGCCCAATGACCTGGTCATGGGCTGTGGGGTTTGGTGGCAGCCGCCTGCCCTGCAGTGCCAGCCCACCCTCCCCAGGGACTGCAGCCATGCTGGCCACCCACAGCAGCTGCTTTCAGTCCAATTTCAGCAAGGGCCAGAGCTCCCAGAAGAGTAAGCTGCTGGAAAATAAGCTTCATTCCTCAGCAGATGTGTCACAGCCTTCAGGAAAGTTCCCGTGTTGGGACTGGGATCTTGTGCCCAGGTCATGCTTGGCACTGGACAGGCACAGGATCTCTGTGCCTCTAGCTGACATCAGGAAACTGAGGCATTGGGTGCTAACAGAGTTTGCCTGGGAATGAGCTGTGGCATTTCTGCAGCTCATCCTATCAGCTGGGGCCAACAAGCTTTGGATACTTCTCCTTAGGGACTAAAGATGTCCTGAGCAGCCACCCTCCAGCTTTGGTGCTTCCCTGCCCTCACAGCACAATGTCAGCTCCATGAGTGAGAGCCTCCATCCCTAAAGTGCCACCACTCAATCCCCACCACTCCAAAACCCAGCAGAGAGGCTGTGGGGGAATCACCAGCACAGAGGTCGGGTAAATACAGGACAGAGCCCACAGCAGGCACATCCCTGCCCTGGAGTTATAGTATGGTGGGATTCAATGCCACAAAAAAGCCCCACCACCTGTTTCTCACCCAGTCCACACAGCTATTCCCACATCACTTCCCCACTGCTCTCAGGCTCCCTGAGACCTGGAGAGCATCCATTTTCTTGAAGTGTCTGCTTTTATGTGCTTTCCTTCCACTGTGTCCTCTTTTCCCATCCCCATGGAGATGATGCAGGGCAGAGGAGCCCCTGTGCTTTGGTCGCCCTTTATGTCCCATTGAGACTTCAGCAGGACGGCGGCTTGGAGAAGGAAGGGTCTCCACGGGCACAAGGCAGCTGTGGCCGGGCTGCTGGAGCAAAGGGGCTGTTGGATGAGCCCCAGGTGCCAGCCCAGGGCCACCGCCGGCCTGCCGGGGCCCTCAGAGGCTCGGCGGGAGGCCGGGAGTCAGCCCGGGGCTCTTTGGGAGAGCGGGCCCTCCCCTGGCTCAGGTGAGGGGAAGGAAGCAGCAGGGAGAGGAGGAGCTGAGGGTGAGTGCTGCTGTCGGCACAAAGCCACGCCTGGGGTTTAGTTTTGCCCAGACGTCGAGGAGGTGCTGAGGCTCAGCAGCTGCCCAGGTAATGGGGAAGGCCCTGTTGGTTTGCGGTGTGTGATGGATGGAGCCCGGGTGTGGGTGTGGGCAGGGTGTGCTGCTGGCAGGGCGGCCCAGGAGCAAAGCAGACGAGTGTCAGCAAAGCACCTGGTTTATTTTGGGCAGCTCTTTGGGTCTGGAGGTTGATATGAGCTGTCGGCAGGGGAGGACTGTCCCCTTCATCCTCCACAAGAGCTGCGTGGTGGAGGGCTGTGATCCTGGCTGGTTTGGGGGCTGAGGGCTGAAGATGCCCCTTTCCTCTAGAGGGTTTATTTATTGAATATGACTTGAAGACCATTTCTTTTGCCCTATTTGCCTATTAATCTCTCTCCAGACTATAACCTACACTTCATCTCCCTAACGGGCCTGCTCCATCTACGGTGGGGCCGAGGCCTGCAGGGAAAAGCCTCTTTCTCTCCATTCCCTGCCTTCCTCCAGCCATCCCAGGTGAGGCCCACAGGGAATTAAATTTCAGTGAGCTGACAACTGTACCATAGCAATGCAGTGTCCAGCAATGAGATGCTTGGGGAGGGGGCAGCTGCCCATTGAGGCAGGGGGGACAGTGGCTCTGCACAGGGGACATGGCCCTGGCACTTGTTTTGCTGTGTGGCTGCAGTGTTATGTTGAGCTCTTGCACTCTGCATTCACCATGAAGATGGTGCTCAGTTCATCACATCTGGGGATAATTTCCGAGCCCCCACCCCAAATCCCATGGGATTTCTCTGCCCAGGACTTTCCCTATGCACTTCTCAGGTCTGTTTCAGTGTATATCTCAACTGGAAGCTCATCAGTGCTGCCTGAGGAGCACCAGGGTCAGTGAGATCATTCCTCCTCTCCAAAGCTGCCCCCATGTGCAGAGAGGAGCTGTCTCCCGTTGGTGCCAGGCCCTGCAGCACAGCAGGGAAGGCAGCTGGAGGGCTGCCCACCCCAGCAGCAATGCCTGGGAAAGCTGGGCTCAGCAGGTTGGTGAGTGGCCCCGTGATCCAGGCCCCGCTCACAGCAGAGCTGATGGAGCCACCGAAGCTTCGGGAGCTGGCTAGCACTTCCCTGCTGTCATCTTCCAGAGAGGATCTAGGATTTGGGCTTACTCCTGGCTGCCAGGGAGAGGTGGGGGACGGGGCATGGAGCGGGAACCATGTCTGTCCGCTCAGACTGCCTTCCAGGAGGGATGTCTGAGAATGGGACAGGGCTGAGCTTATGCAAAAATGGATCAGAGAGGCTGGGTACCTGCTGGTGCAGAGGGCTTGTCATGTGGCACATGCTTGTCATCGTCACTTTGGGTAAGGAACCAACTCCCCGCAGCTGCCCTTTGGGTTGACTGAGCACTGGGGGCTGTGCTGGGAGTCACTGGGGACACCACACCACCACCTGGCTGTGCTGCCCAGCACAAGACTTCTGGCTTGTACAGGAGCCATGCCTGGGCAATTCTGCAATGCCTAAGTGGGATGCCTTTCCCTCTGGGTGGGAAATGTTAGGTTTGGACTTTATTTAAAGTGAGTGTGTGGTGTATGGAACAGCTCGGGTTTCCTACCTCTCTGCCATGAGTTGTTTGGGAATTTCTACCCAACAGACAGTGCAGGACAGGAGGTCTCCTGCCAGCCCAGTTCTTGTTTGAATGGGATGTTGACAGCTTGACTGTGCAGTGTTGCTGTGAGGTTGTATTTGCCCTCTCAAGGAGAAAATGTGATGGTGTATGTAATGGCAAGGGCATCTCTCCTCCAAGCTGGATGCAATAACTCATGCTCTGGCTTCTGTCCTGTTTTCTGGTGCTCACAGAGACCTTAGCTTTTCATCAAGGTCCTCAGGTGTTTGTCTCAGTTTCTCTAGAGGCTTACCTGTCCCCGTGATGGGGCTGTGTTGCAGCCATGGCATGACTCTCCTGCAGTAAACTCACTTTGCCTTTAGTTGCTGGAGTTCTCTTCCCCTACCTGGGTCTCTTCCTGTCTCTCACTTGCAGTCTAAAACCATGAACTATGTGGGGCAGCTGGCTGAGAATGTCTTTGTCACCATGAAGGAGCTGTACCAGAATCTAAACCCTGCCACCCTGTCGGGTTGCATCGATGTGGTCGTGGTAAGGCAGCCTGACAACTCCTTCAAGTGCTCCCCATTTCATGTGCGCTTTGGGAAGCTGGGAGTGCTGCGCTCCAAGGAGAAGGTGGTAAGTGGTGCCTGCCCTGGGGCTGTGCTTCCTTTCCAGTGTCTCCAGACCCAGTATCTTCTAAATCCCACATGTTATGTAAAGGAGGGAATGGGAGCCCACTGAAAGGGGTGCATGCCCTGTTTTTGAGGGGATGTCCCCCAAGTGGAGCCCATCCATTTCCAAGGAGTAATGTGCTCTCCAGGAAAATTTGGAGAGGTCCCTTGCCTCTGTGTGGCTGACAGCCCTATGAGCAACTTCAACCCACCCCCACCATCTGGAAGTGCTCCAGTGGATGAAGGGGTTCAGATGGACAAGCTGCTTCTGTCCCTTGCTAGGTTGACATTGAAATCAACGGAGAGCCTGTGGATCTGCACATGAAGCTGGGAGACAATGGAGAGGCCTTCTTTGTTGAGGAGTCACAGGAGCATGAGGTTGGTTATGAGGAGGTGCTGCATGTTTGTGTCCCAGTGTGACTACCTGGAAGTGCAGGGTTGAGGTGGAATGACCAGGTGTGGAATGCTGCTCTTCCCCAGAGAGACTCCATTTTCCTGTCTGATGTTTTCTGTGTCTGGAAAGGTTCCTGCTTAAAGGACCTTGCAACTCACATGGTGGAGCACTCTGAGGGAGTATTAGACCAAATATCTGCATCCCAGACTGGTCCCCATCAATGGGCATGGCTGCTGGCCAGACAGGTGGATATCTTGGAGCTTGGACTCTCAGGGGATCTTGTGACAGGGATGAGAATGAGACAGATGCTGTGGCAGGCTGCCTGCTCCAGTGGGAAGTGAGATGAGACTAGTTGTGACTTCCAGAAATCCTGTCAGCTCTTCTCTCAGGCACACTTATGGTCACTGCTGGCTTGGGCTGGGTTTGGAAGTCGGAAAGGTCTTTGGAGTCAAATCCCATTTGTAGCCTTGGTAATTCTGGTCTTTGGTGCCATCTCCTGCCTGTCTCTCCTTGCCTGTGTTAAAGATGTCTTTAGCTTGTGGCTGGATCATCCTAATGGTCTTTTATTCACATGATGTGGGTATAAACCCTTTTCTTTTAGTCCAGGCCACAAAACCACCCCTGAGCTGAGGGCTCAGTGGTGTTGGTTGTGCTGTTCCATAGTATGCTCCATAGAGAGCAAGGAGCTGCTAGGCTGAAAAAGAGTGTGCTGGAGGGAGCTGATGGGCTCCTCTCCATCCCTGTTCCAGGGCAGCATCCCCTTCTTGCTCTGCACATCCCCCATCTGCAAGAAGCAGAGCCCAAAGGATGCTGTTCAACCCTTCTGTGTGGGCAGGAGGCCACCAGCGCTGGAGTGATTGTGTGCAAGAGGAGGCAACACAAGAGAAGGCTCAAGATGGAGTTGGACTCTGATTCTGACAGCTGTGATGAGACCAAAAGCGAGCTGCCAGCCCCAAGGTGAGCTGCTTGGTCTGGGCAGGGTGATGCAGTAGGTTAAGCCTGTGGGTTCATTTGGTGATGCCCAGCAGTACTGAAACAGGGGGAAAGCATTTGCAAGTTGGAGCCCAGTCTCCTGAGGAGTATAAAGCCAGGGGGAATGGTGAAGCTGGGTATTTCCAGCTTTCTGGAGAGGAGGCTGCTGCTTGAGAATAGCACAAATTTCCTCTTTCCTCCTTTGCAGTGATGCAGCATGTTCATCCTTTGCTGATCTCCCTGAAGAAACTGCGTTGTTGCAGTCCCGAGAGATATACCCATACTCTGATGGGGAGCTGCTTGAAGAGGACAGGTAATGGGCAGAGCCAAGGTGTTCTGCTCAGCTCTGGTGAGAGCAGGGTACATGCCTCATGGCAGGGAAGGAGGTATGGAAAAGTGACTTGAAGGTGTCAGGAGAGGAGAGTTTTCCTAGCCTGATATGGTGTGGCTGGAGGAAAGCTCAGAGACCATAAGGGACACTTGTGGCCATGGTCACTGGTGTGAGAAGCCTGTGTGCATAGGGCTGTCTGCTGATGAACTGCTCTGGGCAACTGCTGGCATAGCACTTTGCTTTCTGGGGCCTCAGCTTCCATAGGTCTTGGTTCTTTGGGAGTGACATTCTTATAGGGTAGAAGTGACTATGGGAAACCAGCATTACAGGATTCTTGGTCTTAAATGTCCTTGCACTGATAGGAGAACATGGGGCTGTAGTGTAGGTGAGGCCCCACATCACCTTCTCTTCCTGCAGCTTCGTGCTAAGCCATCAATCTTCTCCCAAAAGTGATTCTGAACTGGACATCAAACCACAGGAAAGTTTTGCTCTAGGGGCTGAATCCCTCATGAGGTGGACCTGGGGAAAGCTCCCTCAAGTGAGTCCCTGCTCTTGCTCTTTTGATGGGAAAAAGACCTGCAGAAAGCAGAGGAGGCTGTAGCCAGGCAGCCTTAGGGAAAATGTCCTCTTCTGTGTGATGATTTGGGCAACTTCCTATCCTCAAACCTGTTCTTCTCCTTTCCTTGAGGTGAATAAATTGGTGCGAGTTAAACCAGCCAAGTCCACAAAGACTGCTGCTGCAGCAACCACCATCTCTGCGACACTAGTCCCAGTGGATGAAGCAACCCCTCTTGTTGCCACCTCTGAACATCTGGGAGGGGTTTCAAGCCCAGCAGGACCTCAGGACACACCCTGTTCCTTGGATGTGTCTGTAACTGAGCCAACACTTGAACCTCAGGCTGGGAACAGCATCTCCAGGCTGAAGGACATCCTCCATACTGTCACGGCAAAGAGATTTTTGGGGGTCTACTCAGTCCCACAAGAGAAACAGGAGGGAGATGAGAATGTTGTGCCAGAGGTTCAGCCAGATGTGGAGCCCCTTGAGGGAGCCACTGCTCCAAGGCAGGCAGGCTCAGAAGGCCCTGAGTCCCAGCTGGAGAGCCAGGGGAGGCAAGGTGAGAGTGTGACTGGTGCTGCTTGAAGTGGTGTTTGAGCTTGCAGATGTGTCTGACTCAGATGAGCACCTGGGTTGTCCCTTTAGTGTAGCTCCATGAGTTCCAGGTGTGGTATGTTTGTTTTGCCTTCTTTGTGTGCTACCAGCTCCTTTGCTTTGAAGAGACATCCTTTAGGTGTCCACCTTTCAGTGACCACCCACCTCCCAGGATGGCTTTCTTGCCTTATGTTCCCTGAAGTCCATCCTTTGATGTCTATGCTTTTGCATACTTAGAAGATTTCTCAGCAATACAGGCCATACCTTAATTTCAAATGTCTGACAGCACCTGGCCTGACTTGTGTCTTCATCCTGAGCTTGCCAAGTCAGGGAAAATCACAGAGCAGCATTTATGTTCCCCCCTTCAGAGTGTATTTAAGGATCATGCTAGTGCAGGTGTCTCGAAGCACTTCTGTTGCTGTTGACTTACGGCAGTTTTTCCAGTAGAAAAATGGCTACCCTGTTTGTATGGTACATAGATATGATTGAGGAAAATGCTTTTGGCTTTCTTGATAGATGCTGGGGTGATTGGAAAGGTGATTCAGCTAAGCTCTCTCTCTTCTGTCTATGCATTGAGGATCCATCAGAAATCCTCACTTGGATCCCAGTGCCATTTACCTTGGAGACCTCTCCAAGACGGACCATGAACCGGTGGCTCTGTATATCTCCAGGAGGTATGAGTTGCCCAGCTGGCCAAGCTCAGACATTTTTGAGCAACTCCCCTGGCACAAAGGATGGAGGTATGTTTAAAGCTATTCTCTGATGTCACCACCATTTCTTCCCTTGCTGGCAGTGACACAAAGCCGAGTTTGAGGCCTGTGACAGACCCCAGCAACCCTCTGTGTATCCAGTTGTCATCCACCTCACCTGACAACAGCCCCATGGACTCTGACTTGATGCCCACAGTTGCCCTGTCACTGTGTGGGGGCCTCAGGAGCAACAGGCAGATCTCTCATGGTAGGTAGGAGGGGAGGGAGAATCTGCAGCCCTGAAATCCTTTCCATCTTCCAATGGCATGACACAGTCTCTGTCCCATCAGAGAAGTTCATGGAACACATGGTTTCCTACCAGCAATTTGCTGAGAATCCAAGGCTCGTCGATGACCCAAACCTGGTGATAATGATCAACAAGAAGTGAGTGGCCTGCTCTTCCTTCTGCTTCATCCCACAATGGACAGCATGGCCCCTTTGTCCTTGTGGAGATCCTCCTGCAGGAATGTGACTCCATCCCAGAGCATGATTGTACCAAAGCAGCTGTGGGACCTGGCCATGCTGCAGGATGGTAATCTCGCTTTTTCCAGGTATTACAATTGGGCAGTGGCTGGTCCCATAATTCTGGCCCTGCAGGCTTTCCAGAGGAACATTCCTGAGGTCAGTAGTACAACACATTTACTGTCTGTGATTCTCAGCAGGGCCTGGGCTGAGGACTGACCTCATTCCGTGTTCTGCCATGTTCACAGAGCATCATTGACAAATTGGTGAAGGAGAAGATGCTCAAGAAAGACAGAAGGTGGTGGTTCTCCTGGAGGAGAAGAGAATTCCCAGCAGAGGGGGTATGTTGGCAGCAGTGGATGTGACAACCATGTCCTCAGGGGCAGACATCATTCTGCTGACTGGAAGGGGTGGGAGCAGGGTCCTGGGGATGGCCTGAGGTTGACTATGAGGACATCCAGGACCTGACGAGGTGACTTCTTAAGGTTGCTACCTGTCCCCTTTGGTCTGTCAATGCCTGAGCAGCAGAGCAACACTTGGTAATGCAGTAATGTGGACCTTGTAGTGGTGAGACCTCCTGCTATGTGGCCATCATGCCAAGTCCCTGGGCAACAGGTGTGCTTGCTGGTCTCCCTGCTCCACCACAGTGCCAGGCTATGCTTCCTCTTCTACCAGCAGTGTCCCTGTGAAGGCAGGGACTGCAGTGGTACTTCTTTTGGCATTGCTATTCCAAGTGGAAGAGAAGCAAAGCAGCCCCTGCTCTTGCTCTTAGCTCTGTGCAAGTACTGCTTAACAATAACAGAAACATCTCTGTTATCAACACTGTGTTGAGCCCAAATCCAGAACACAGCCCCATACCAGTCACTGTGAAGAAAATTCACCAAAAACAGCACACCCCTCTCTGTCTGCAGCAGCAGCCGAGGCCAGGGAAAGCCAGCATGGGAGCACTGCAGCATGACCCTGCTCAGCAGAGGTGAGTGCCTCCCTCCCAGGTCATCTTCAGGAGTCTGAATACTCCTGGTCTTTTCTCCTGTGTGACTAATTATTCCTATGTTTGCCTAATAAAAGAGGGTAGAAAGCTTTCATTAAGACTCTGGCTGATCCCTTCCCTTCTTTGTGTAGTCAAGAGGAAGAGGAGTCATCCAGTGACAGTGAGCCCCAGCACCCTGGGGACATGTTGACAGTGGAAGCCCCTGCTCAAAAGCATTTGCCAACCTACAAGAAATCCCTGCGGCTCTCCTCCGAACAAATTGTATGTATTTATTCCTCCATCTTCACTGTCCGTGTGTGTAGGGGTGAGACAACCCTTAAACGGGGATTTCTCTACTCCTGACCTCGTGTTTCCATGGGACATCCAAATATTTTGCCCTTGTTGGCCACCCTGTAGAGTCTTGGGATCTCTGGCCTGGCTGAGTGGCAGTCTGGCCTCTGGCAAGCCTTGGAGTGGTGTGAATTGGTGCTGGTGTAACACTTTTGCTGCTCCTCTACCCCAGGGAAGGTTGAATCTACAGGATGGCCCCAATGAGGTGGCATTCAGCGTGACAACTCAGTACCAGGGCACGTGCCGCTGTGAGGCCACCATCTACCTCTGGAACTGGAATGAAAAAGTGGTGATCTCAGACATTGATGGCACCATCACCAAGTAAAAGGCCTTTCTCCTACCCCAAAATCCTTGTTTTCCCCTGTTAGGGAAAAGTCTCCTTTAAAGGCTTGCATAAGCAGGCACAAGGGAGCACAAATCCCATTGGGGTGGGGGATGGATACTCACCGCCTTGGATGACACTAACCCGGCCTCCTTTCCTCTTAGATCAGATGCTCTTGGACACATTTTGCCACAACTGGGTAAAGATTGGACTCACCGTGGGATTGTTACACTCTTCCACAAAATCCATCTGTAGGTACTGGATCAGCTGAGGCTAAGGGGAAGTGGGAAGCTGATGGAGTCAGAGTCAGGGCTTCTTACTTGATGATGAAGGCGCAGATAGCTGCACTATCTGCTGTCAGTGGTGGCCAATGCTGGCTGTGCTGCCTACATGATGTTGAGGGGTGAAAGCAGAAGGTCCCCTGGGAGCAGATGCTGGCATTACCTTCCCTGGAAGGAGTGTGTGTCAGTGGAGGCTTTTCTAGGGAGATACAGCTGAGCAGCAGAGACAAGACCACCTAAGGTCACACCTGAGAGTGGTGGCACGGGTGTCCCCAGCACTGTGGTGCTGGTGCCTCTCTGGGTACCCAGCCATCGCTTCCCACAGCCCATGGGACTCACCTGCGAGGGGTGACACCAGCAGTGAGTCCCTGTGGAATGTCTAGATTGGTCCCTGGCCCCTGTGGCCACTGAGAGGCACTGTGGGCCCGTGGATGGCTCGTTCTGGCCCTGGGAGGAGCATGGGAGGGATGCACTCCCGGGGATTGCAAGAACTCGAAGATGGCACCTCGGCTGCCTCTGGCCACCCAGTACCACCTCTGCCGAGCTCTGTCCCCGCCCGGGCTTCTGTAAGGGCTGGGTACAGCCCTCCACAACTGACAGGCAGTGCTGTGGGGTGAAAGTGCTGTGTGAGGATGCTGGGCAGCAATGGGTGGTGTGCAGCTGGGCTGGGTGCGTGTGGCTGCTGGGATAAGCATGGAGGGTGGTGCAGGGATTCCCAGTGTGAGGCAGGTGGGGATTTGGCTTAGTCTGGGTTTCCAGATAAGGGATTCATGTTTGTGGAACCACCTTGCTTACTGGAATAAGATTTTAGGCCAGGTACTTGGCTACCTCTTCCTCCTCAGAGCAGGAGAATGCCTTGCCCCAGGTCACAGCTCAGAGGGGCTCCCTGTGTTCTCTCTAGGAATGGCTACAAGTTCCTCTACTGCTCAGCCAGGGCTATTGGCATGGCCCACATCACCAAAGGCTACCTCAAATGGGTCAATGAGCAAGGCTGTGGCCTCCCCATGGGCCCCATGCTGCTTTCCCCCAGTAGCCTCTTGTCTGCCTTCCACAGGTACTGTCTTCTCCTGCACCTCCTATATCCCTGGGGACAGCACCCTGTTCCACAGCTTGACGCTGAGGGATGTCCCAGCCTCAAACTGTTCTGCCCTCCTTGGTGCACAATGCCTTTCATGGGAGGCAGCAGGGGAGCTGCCTGATCTTGGAGCTTCACAGTGAAGCTTCTGATGCTCAAAACCTCTTACCCTTCAAATCACTTCCCTGAGCCCCAGACAGGTTTGCTGTCCACCGTCCTGGCCAGCTGATGCCACTGTGACTGTGTCTCTTGTGCTGCAGGGAGGTGATTGAGAAGAAGCCAGAGGTGTTCAAGGTCACCTGCTTGACAGACATCCGAAAACTGTTTCCTACAAAGTGTCCCTTCTACGCTGGTTTTGGGAACAGGCCCAATGTGAGTGGATCTCCAGGTGTGCAGGGAGGGCTCAGGCTGGGTGATGATGCCTTCCTGCAGCTCTCATGCCATGCTGGCCTTCCTTGGGCAGGATGTGTATGCTTACAAGCAAGTGGGGCTGCCAGAGAGCCACATATTCACAGTAAACCACAAGGGAGAGCTGATCCAGGAGCTCGCAAAGAACCAAAAGTCAACGTAAGCAAAGTGTTTATACCTCAGCATCTTTGGGCTGACCCGGCTTTGATGCACAGAGGCATCAAATCCAATGACCCCAGTGTAATTTCTTTCTTACCCCCACAGATACGAGCAGCTGTCGGAGCTGGTGGAAGTCTTCTTCCCTCCTGTGTGACAGAGGAGAGGCAGTGGTCTGGTGTCCCCAGAGTACAGCCACTTTACCTACTCCACTGCTTGATGTTGACTTGGATGGCTTGCCCTAACCCCACCCCTGTGGAGACCTGACCCAGAGCTCTCCTGCGTGCTCTTTGCCGGGACTAAGTGTTCCAGGTGCACCTCATCTTCTCTGTTTGCTGCTTGGGCATTTTGCACTTGTAATAGAGGTCATGACACCCCTTAGCAGGAAGCCAGAGGGGGTAAGAGAGAGCTCTGACTTTACAAAAACTCCACTTGCTAAACACAAATTCCTGAAAGCTGGGTCTCTTCTGGTGTTTGTAGCTCCTCTAAAGTCTGGCTCCTTTTTAAAGGTGGTGGTTGTTCACTGTTGTATTTATTGATGAATCTCTGACGTAGCTATTACTACTTCTGGTATGACCAGTGTTTCAGACAGTCCAGCTACCTGCAGTCTGGTAGTTGAAACTGTCCACTAACTTGTAAAGGTCAGTGGAAGATTCTGGGGTTTTGAGTGTTCTGAACTAAAAGCAATAATAAATAGTGCCTTAATCTAGGCTGTCTCTTGTCTGCTCTAGCCCTGTGTATAGAGGTGGGAGCCAGGCTCCAAGTCGTTTCTAAAATGTAATTGGGATTATTCTGCTCAAGCATCCTACCAAGTGGGTCCTGGGGGTGATGGGACCAGCTTCTAGAAAATGGCACTTTTTTTTTGTGTTTTTTTTTTAATTCCTACGTTTAGCTAAGGTAGCAAAATTAATTAAAACCAGAAAACAAATCCAGACTTCTGTATGTACATGGGGCTGAATGGACAGGAGACTTTGCAAAAGCCAGAGGCCCCTGTGCCGAGGCTCAGTCCGGGCTGGCTCCAGCCCCTCAGGGTCCCTGGGAGCTGGGGGTGCCCGCAGCCCAGCGCAGCGTCGCTGGCACTGGGGACACCCAGGGAAGAGCCCTGGATGAGGCTCTGCAGGACCATGCAGGCTCAGCCCTGCTCCCTCATGCGATCCCATGGGCCTAGGCTCTCTGGGATTTGCCTCTGCATTTACCATGCAACTCCAAAGCAACTGCAAGAAAAGTGGGACCTGTGAGTGAGACCCCTCAGTGCACAAGTAGCCCCAGGGTGGCCATGCCAACAGCACCAGGGACATCCAGCCCCAGGCACCCATAGCCTTGCAAAAGCTCCCTGCATCCAAAGCAAATGCAAATAGAGCTGGGGTGTGAAGAATAAAGATTCACACAAAAGATTGTTTATTTACAGAAGAGCAGCAACAAAAATGAATTACATAACATATTTTAAATGTAAGACTCTTTATAACAACAACAATCTATAAAATTACAAAAACCTATACAGAAATGTATGAAACATAGGTACACAAGAGAATAACAAACTCTAAAACGTATTTACAGATGAAAAGTTAACAAAAAACTCTAAAATATATATACAGAAGTATTGCATCCCTGTCCAGCATCTCCATCTCCATCAGTCCTGGAAGAAAAGGAAGTGACACGGTCACTCCAGTCAGGCACAGAGGGCTGTTCCCTGTGCCCCCAGGCTGGGACACACTGGCAGAGCGTGATTCTGCTGCCAGCACTGAGCCTGGCTGGGGCTGAGGGCTGAGCCCCAGGCAGTGGCACCCAAAGCGTGGCCCAAAGCAAGCACAGGGCAGGCTGGGGGTGGTGCTTGTGCTGCCAGGCCCCCCCTGCACTGTGTCCCTGAGCAGAGCCACCCAGCCCAGCCCCAGCCTGGCAGCGGGGGACCCACTCTGCCTGTCCTGCTGCTGGGGTCCATCTTTGTCCCAAGAACATCTCCTCCTCCTCACCTTTCTCATCCACTTCCATGTCTTCAACATCATCTTCCATTTCCTCCTCCATCTCTTCCTTTGTCTCCTCCACAGCCACCTCCATCTCTTCCTCTCCATTCTCCTCTCCATCTATAGCCATACTCTCTTCTCTATCAATCTTCACATCGATTTCCATCTCCTCCGCTCTGTCTGGGACAGCCTGCGTCGGGAGCAAAGCCTCGGAGCTGGGGCCCTGTCCCACACATCCCCACAGAGCTCCAGCCCACCCAGGAAGCCCAGGGGTCTCCACCTCCATGGAATGGCACTGTACCTTCACTGGGACAGAAGTGAGCACGCTGCAGGGGTGGATGGCAAGGTCCAGGCCGCAGGGAGAAGGCGGGACTGACGACAGTGTCGATTTTTCCCGCGCAGTGGCAGGTGCAGGTGCACTGTGATCAGGGCGTGGTGGCTGCAGGGCCAATAATAATAAGACATAATGCTACGTCATGCGGTGCCAAGAATTTTTCCCGCGCAATGGCGGGTGCAGGTGCACTGTGAGCGGGGCGTGGTGGCTGCAGGGCCAATAATAAGACATAATGCCACCTTATGGTGTCATGACACACATCATGACTCACAGGATCACTCTGCGTGGGGCAATGGCGACCATTAAATGATAGAATCCTTTCATGATTTTGCTTGGAATGGACCCTAAAGTTCATCTTGTTCCAACCTGAGCAACCTTCCCCCAGACCAGGTTGCTCAGGGCCTCATCCTGGCTCTGGATGAAATGGATCACAGAGGCTGTGGATGCCCCATCCCTTGAATGTTCCACAGCCTCTGTGCCCAGCCTGGGACTGTGCCTGACCACCCTTAGTTTAAAATACCAGTTTCCTTAGATACAACCTAAATTGACCTCCTACAGTTGAAAGCCATCCCCCCTTCTCCCACCATAGACCCATCTTTCCTATGGGACCCTTCAAGTCCTGCATGGCTGCAGTGAGGCCTCCCCATGGCCCTCTCTTCTCCAGGCTGAGCATCCCCAACTCTCTCTTCATGGGAGGTTATAAAGTAGAACAAAGGCAGAAGCACTGCTGGGCTCCTTCCTCCAGTCTGGCAAATACCTTCTCCTTCCCTGACCCCTGTGTGTAAGCCATCTCCTTGTCTGCCACTTCTGGAAGCCACACAAAAATCATTTTGATCTTGGAAACCTCAGTAAGAAATACTTTATTTTTTTCCTTTCCAGTACAAACAGTTTTTTAGCTTTTAAAATCTGAACAAATAGACATGGTTTTAAAAACAATAGAACACAGTCTTTTAACAGGATCGGTTATCAACTGCCTCAGAAAGCTGCCCATGCAAGGACAACCCCATGGGCAGCATTTCCTTAGTCTGCAAGCAATTTTTAAAAAATGCCCGGTTTTGTACAAAGTTCCTTTCACTTTTTAAACATGAATAGCTGAGAACTGAAATAACAAACTGTCCATAGCTTCAAGTGACTAGTCAGGAATAGTCCAAACATAGCACCATTTTCCGGAAGGTCAGACTTCTTCCTTGTCCTAGTTTTGTTATGGCCAGTCCTCGCTCCCTCTTTTCTGGGGAAGCTGTTCCTGTTCAGCCACTCTAACCCAGCCCTGGCTGGGGAGCAGGGAGCCTGGCCCTTGGCTTGGTTTTCTCTTTGGTTTTCTCCCTGGTGTGAGGGGATGGAGAAGGGGCTTAGGCAGAAAGCTCCCCATGCAGCATGAGGGCTCCCCTGGCCCATCACAAAGTACTGAGGGTTGGCTTAAGACTCCTTCCTTAGACTGGAGAAAAAAATAGGTTTTATTGTCTAAGAGCAGGTTTTGCAGGATGCCCAATGGCAGCAGAAGGTCATTCCTCACCTGGAGCAGTGTCTCAGCAGCTGGAGGGTAGCTCCAAATCAGCAAAGCCCAGAGCAGTGAGAGTGGATTCTGGTGCTGTGAGCACCTGGCAGGGCTGAGAAAGTGGTGGGGGGAGCCACGTGTCCTCTCTATGCTCTCACAGCTGATGGCTCGTGCTCCTCTGGCAGGGGAACAAGGTTTTGCACAAGGGCAACATGTTGTGGCTACTGGTCTCAGTGATCCCTGTGGTCCTCCCTAGCCTGGAAGCATGTTTAAGGGAGCTCCCACAGATTTTCTGGGTGATAAAAGGTGCCCAGATGCATCTCTGCTGGGAGCTGCTGCTGGTTTGTGCTGGTCAGAGCACAGAGCTGCTCCTTTACGCAATCAGGGGGGATCAGGGAGGGAATCATGGCGCAGAGGATTAGGGACAGCCTGGTGAGGGTGACAGGCACTGTGTGCGAGCCAAAGACTGGCTTGTGTGGAAGGGTTCGTGAGCTACAATGCTGAGAGAAAAATATGTTCCTCTGCTATAAAGTGCCAGAGTTGCTTGGATGGAGGCTCTGTAATTTCCTCCTCATCCTAGTAATGAAGTCCCCATTAGCTGATCAGCAGAGGGTGCCCATGGTGGGCTCCAAGGGAGAGGTGGATTCTGTGAGCAACAGCTCTGGACTGCTCAGGAAAGTGGACATCGTTCTCCAGCCTACCTATTCATGGGAAACTAGAGTCAAGCTGGGTAAATGACGTGGGTTTTTCATTCTGAGCTGAGGACAGGTCTCCAGAAGTGTTCTCACAGATGCCCTGCCTTGTTCCACATCATTGTTGGTCCCAGGGCTACTGGCATCCCAGTGGGATCAGAAGAGGATGTGAAGTGAGGATGCAGGCTCCTGCTCCTCCACTGCTGTACTCACACCCTGGAGCAGCTGGAACTCTCCTGCCTGGGACCAGATGATGGAGTTCACAGTTTAAGAACGAAAACAGAAAGAACCAGAGCTGGAGGACAGGACTGCTCTGTGCCCAGCTTGGTCTCAGCAGAGACCTATGGACACACCTCTCCCTGGGGAAGACACATGTTTTCCATAACCCATCATGTCAGTCCCAGGTGTAACCAGAGAGCCCAGCAAAGTGGGATTGCAAAGCACAGCAGCCCCAGGGACCACGGGACTCTCTCCAAACACTGCTGCCACAGATCTTAGCTCCTCAGTGTGGAGCTAAAATAATCTTTGGATTATGGCAAAGGACACAGGGGCAGCATTAGGAAACTGGAATCAGATGAGCACCATAACACGATTGTTCAAAAATATACATACACATACAATATATATATTATATATATATATATATATATACATATGCATATGTATTTTCCTAAT